TGCACCCCTCGTGATCCCGCTACAACTTATATTATAATAAAGGTATTTCTAAGAAGGCCAATAAGGATAGTTGGCATCCTAACAGTATCTAATGATGACCACATGGAGCTGTAGGCATGATGAGGTAGAGGACTGGTCAGCTTGGCATCTGGTACAAACTAGCAGAAACCTCTACAGAGAAGCCCATGTTTGCTAATGGCCGATAAAATTCATGGGGAAAACACAACCTTAATTCCCCAAATTAAAAATAAGCAACAACTGGGCCACTGTCCGTACATATTTCACAACTAGTTGTAAAGTCCAATGTAGGTTATCTCGGGCTTATCAACCGAAACTGTGTAACACCAGCTGTGAACAACCTTATTTTGTTTGTTGATCACTTTAAACTACCGGCAGCTATATTATGACATAATTCAAATCAATATTTACATTATCAGATTCAGTTTCTGAGGAAGTTTCTACATCAATCCCTGCAGTGTTCATAATAGGGGTCCAGGGGTTCTTGAGATTTGAATAGTATTTGAATATTTGAATATATAACATTAACAAACATAATCAACATTAATATGTTTACATTAGGATTTTGACAAAGACCCATTGACATTCATGCTACCTCCGCCACGCATGTGGTTGTGTCACAGAAAACAGTTTCATATTTTTGAAAGTGTCCAAGTTGATCACGTGTGAGCCATGTGCTTCCCTGCCTGCCATGTTATCATCATTATTCCCTGAGCTGGTTGAATGGATGTGACAGTTCTCCTTCCTAATGACCTCAGCCCCAATACCTTGTCCTAGGGAGACTCAAGATAACAAGGCCCATGAATACCATAACCTATTAATTGGCCCCCTTTACCTGAACAGCATCCCCCACTCTATGAGCTGTGGCCAGGAAATCACCTGGCGTACAATGTCCCAATAAGCAAGCTAGTGGCATCTTGGCTCCCTTGGTTTCCAAAAATCACAGTTATCAGGAACCGTACAGAGCCGCCAGACCTCCAATACATGCCAGGATCTAATAGCTGACGATACTAAACTATGAGCTGTGGCCAGGGAATCACCTGGCGTACAATGTCCCAATAAGCAAGCTTGTAGCATCTTGGCTCCCTTGGTTTCCAAAAATCACAGTTATCATGTACCGTACTTCCTCTATGAGCCGCCAGACCTCCAATACATGCCAGGATCTAATAGCCGACGATACTAAACTATGAGTTGTGGCCAGGGAATCACCTGGCGGACAATGTCCCAATAAGCACCCATACCCTTGTGGCACCATGGCTCCCTTGGTTTCTGAAACCCACAGTTATCAGGTACCCTATTACCTCTATCAGCTGCTGGACCTCCAATAACACACCACCCTCTAACAGACGACGAGTCATACCAATGTCCCAAAAGTAGAAGCCGGGGCTCTATTAGGCGCCAGGTCCATCATTTGGTGAAATTAATGATCCCTATTAAATTTGGTTATGGCATGAAATGATTACTCCCTTCCACTACTGGTATCTCCTCCCGTCTTTCGAAACAACATGTCAAGGGTATGTGGTGCAGACTTCAGTTAGGTAGTGAGCATCCATTATGACGCCAGGTCAACAGCTTGCATGAAAATATTAGATGCACGGGCTTCTATTAGAGGAAATACGGTATACAAATCTAAGAGAGTGAATGTTGTTTAAAATACACCAGATTCCAGACATATCATGGCAGTCATATACCTATGAGTAAAGTATTGGGACATAAATGGAAATAAAATGATGCAAAGTTTATTTTAAGTGGGTGCGTGAGTATGGTTTTACACCACTTTTAGCAAACATAACAAAACAAATTATTACTCTTGACGAGGTAAATATGCAAAAACAAGGACCCTCAGACCCGACTCTTTCGACGGTCAGACAACCTCAGGGTTTGGTCCTCGGGTCCTTGTTTACGCATATTGACCTCATCAAGAGTAATTATTCATATATTATCATCTGATCCTACAACACAGAAGGAATGTCACAAGACTTGTATTCAGACTGAAGGCCGCAAACCATGTAACAGCAGTGTATGCCACAACTGTTGTATCTAGCTACTAGCACACACGTCTTGGGGAGTCTTGATCAGTAGATCCTAATTTTGTGAACACATCACCTGTTATTAGACCTTAAATATTTTACGGAACTCAGCCTTACAAATTTGTATTTAGTCCAGAGACTAGTGTTAACGACGATACGATGCACGACACATTTTTACTGTATCGCGATACAAGACGATTCACTTGCCAAATAAATTTTTACTACTCATTTAATGACCCCAAACGTTTTTGTCAGTCAAATACTGCAGAATGTGTTGTAATTAGCATTTCAAGTTCACTACTAAAAATAGCCGCTACAAACATGTGTCTACATCAAGCCTTTCGCTTTGAACCTGCTTTGAAATAATTATGGTCAAGAAGTTTTGAGATTTGACGAAAATATGCGTATCGTGATACATATCGTATCGTGACCTATATATCATGATACGTATTGTATCATTACCTTCCTGTACCTTTCACCCTAGTAATGCCCTGTCTACTCACATGTACTGGGCCTACAGGCTGCTACACAAGATACATATATATGAACACAGAACAGGACTGTCTACACTGAACACGCTGAAGAGGAAATAGAATTAGGAATGTTTGTCCTAACTAATATTGATTACAATCGGTTTGTCAGTCATCGAAAATAACTGGCATAAATTTTTGTGCATATTTTCCAGATATTACACATCAAAATACCTGCTCTTATCTTGATATAAAACATTCAAACTTTTATTCCCAAAATGCCACACCTTTCTAGTTTCACTTTCTGAGTCTATGTGTAATTACTAATTTTGTATGGATCTTATGAATGGTTCTATGAATTATGAAACTTTGAAATAATAAATATTTTTCACCGCCGTGACCTTAATCGATTACCGACACAAACAATTTATCTGTATAGCAGTTTCGGATACCAATCGATGTTGTTTACATAATCCTTTATCGGAACATCAGAAAGTTCAGTTCATCCATCTTTCACAAACACATTTACTACTCAATTCAAATAATTTTTTATGTCACTACTTTTTACCACAAAGGATGAAGACCTGGATCCGTACACAATTACATTTAGCATGTGTGACTTCATACAGCCATACAACAACCAGCTGTATCGCGGATTAAAATAGTTCCACAAAACGAGAGGTGACATCAATGTATGTATGCTCAATATGCTCTATGGGAACAACGTTTGCGGTTTCTTTACAATATGTATTCAATTAATATCCTCATTAGATGAGAAAGGTCTGTTAAGAACTACCTCAGTAAGTCTGTCACAATGACAGCGCGTCGTAATACATTTACATCAAGTACAGGACGTCAAACCGGCCGATACAAATAAACGTGACGGGATAGATTTCCAAAGTTGTTAATGAGCCTGTCGCTATTACAAGTGTTAGTCATCACTGATAGATTGGACAATCATTGAAAGGTGATTGCAAAGATGTGTCAAATAGATACTAAGGAAAATTGATAGATTACTTAAGATTGTCAATGTAGTCTAGGCACAGATTGAGTCGACACTACAATAGTTTGGATGTGCTTTTCTTCGTGTTGTTCTCTAGGACGAGACGGGCATGCATTGACATTCTCTGACTTCTTCCAATGTATGCTAAAATTCTAAGTTCAAGATTAAAGGGTCCAAATTATGATAAACGACACTTCTGTATTTATTCATGGTAGGGAATGCCCAGGGGTTTCACCAGGAATGTGGAAGTAGTCCGTCAGTGTTTACGTCATTTCAAGAATACAGTCTCGTGAAAAGCACATGAACACCAAAATACGTTGTTCATACACTAATGGATTTCAGTTTCGCGGTCATGTGACTGACCTCTCGTCTAATGGAAAAGCTGTGTATCATGTAAATTTCACGGACAAGTCAAGGATCACCCCATTCTTTCATATGACAATAGTTATTATAAACATTAGTTATATGAAAGAAATGGGTGGTCCTTAACTTTTTTTGAACAATATATAAACATGTCATAACACTTGATCATTAGCTAAAAGCAGCCACACTTCATAAAATGTCAGCAGTCATATGGAAGAGAAAACACTTCTTATTTTTGCGTTACAAGCCCCTGCGTATTGATCAGCATCAATCATCCACACCCATAATGTTGGTTTCTCAAGCCTATTCTTGGAAGACAAAACGGTTTCATCAACAAAACAGCCACTGGCTTTAGTTTCACTTATAGTCTTGGTGAAGTGAAATGGGGTTTGATGTCGCTTTCCAGTTTATTACACTCAGGGAGGTAACCATGGTAACTTATTAAGGGGGTAGACAGGTCAGAGGGAATCTGGGGCCAGTCACCAAAACATTTAACATATGACAGTCTAAGTAGGGTCAAATAAAAGAGGACATGTCACAATTAAATATGAAGAGCTTTCACATTTTGTCTTTTCAGGAGGGTCATGAAAATAATTTACAAGGACCTGGGGCAGGGTCATCCAAAAATAGGACAAGCATTTGGGGAAGGTAATTATTTTTAGTCCATCAGCGCAACAAACACCTCTGACCCACCCACCCCTGTGATAAACGACCTGTCCCTGACAATGGGACATGCTTTCTAAGTTCCTTTGGAGCATACATATAAGGACATGAAAAGTTTGGGTGGAGAAAAGTTTAAAGTTATTCAAAATATTTACTGACTTGTAAAGAAGAAGTTGTAGGCATTAGCATGATTAGCAAAACCAGTCTGTAGCCATCAAAATAGTCACATTTAGACCAACTGACAGTAACCATGGTAACCGATGAACGATTCAACCATAATAACAACTATCTTCAACTGCTCCCTGCGTTATACAACTGAACACTCACTCACTCACTCACACTGTGGTACACCTCCAAGTGAACAAATAGCAGTTAGTCGGCCAATAATGGGAACGGCTACCATAGACAATTTCACATAAAATATTAATTTCAGATTTCATTCACAATACTCACATAGGTAAATCTTATGATTGCTGATGGAGAAAAGGTAAATCCTGCCTCCCCCTCCAATCTCTCAGCGGTGGGAAGAATCACTGTTGCGCGACCACATTGTGTGACCTAGCATCAGGACGCTGGATGTCATTCCAAATACGCACAGATGTATCTAATGGGCGTGAAATGAGAAAAAAGTAGCTCCTGCCTCCTTCTCTGAAATGTCAGAGTTTGGAAGAACCACGGAAACGTGACCAAATCATGTGACTGGCACCATCAGGACACTGCATGACATTCCAAATACTCACAGATGTATTTTAAACTAAAGGTCAGAAAGGAAACCACACCTCCACTTCCAAACTGACGGTGGTCGGAAGAATCACGGTAGCGTGGTCATGTCATGTGACGTAACTGATGGGCTGTCGACAAGGACACTGAAGGATGTGTTAGCAGGTCCTGTTACATCATGATGTAAATTCCATATACAATACACTTTATATAAGTAAAATACGATATCCATGTACTGCTAAACAGATGCTCCCTTATACAACAGGTTCTTCAGGGAGCTCACGCATGACAGGCTAGCTTTGTGATGTATGAATATGAAATTAATATAAGGAAATCTGTGAACTTCATGTCATCATGTCAGTGCTCACAAAAATGACATGACACACTCTGAATACCATCCCCCCCTCCCCCGGAGGAAGATACCATCTGAAAAATTGGAAATATCTAAGACAATCTTCATTTGGTTTGGTGGGTTTATCAACCAATATGTGAAAACAAAAACTAAGAAAGGTTTAAATAATATTTCTGTGACCACACAAACTGTTTTCCACATGGACAAAGCAAGACAGCCACAATGGCAGTGCTACCCCGTAGGTATTCTTTGTAAGCCACCTGCTTTTGAAACATTATAATAAGTGTCAATCTTATTTGAGGACATGGTAGTGTACATGGTGTACATGATTTTCACTGGCACAGTCTAATTTATACCTTACAATTTTTTAGTTCTATCAGCGTATGTTCTTACAACATATGGGTGGGTGGGTGCGTGCATGTGTGGGTGCGTGCATGTGTGGGTGCGTGCATGCGTGTGTGCATGCATGTGTGGGTGTTTGCATGTGTGGGTGCGTGCATGCAAGTGTGCATGCATGTGTGGTTGTGCATGTGTAAGTGCGTGTGTGCGTGCATGCGTGTGTGTGTGCATGTGTGGGTGGGTGCATGCATGGGTGCATGCATGTGTGGGTGTGTGCATGCATGTGAGGGTGTGTGCATGCATGGGTGTGCGTGCATGTGTGGATGTGTGCATGCATGGGTGTATGCATGTGTGTGTGTGTGTGTGTGTACATATGTGGGTGTGTGCATGTGTGGGTGGGTGCATGCATGCATGCATGGGTGTGTGTGCATGTGTGGGTGTGTGCATGCATGGGTGCATGCATGTATGTGTGTGTGTGCATGTGTGGGTGGGTGGGTTTGTGCATGCCTGCAAGCATGAGTTGGGTTCAATACCGCTTTAAACAGTATCCAGGTATTTTGCACAGCTTAATTTTGGGAGAAAAACCTGAAGTGATGCAGGTCTCAGAGTTTACCACTTTGGTGAAACCCTTGATCACAGGTTTGGTGCTGACCAACCTTGAAACCTTTTTGGGCAAAATGGGATTCAAACCCACCGTCATAGGTTTATGGCATGCCCAAAGAGATGCTACTCTACACACTGCCTTAGATGACTGGGCCACCCATGCTCCCCACAAGACTTCAAGACCTATTTACCTGCCTAGCCAAACACACATTGAAACAACAAATGAGATCAGATCCTGTTCTACTTTTGGTTGCAAATAAATAATTGGGGTCAGGTTTATCTTGAATCATGACGATCCAAGTTTCGTTCCACTGAATCTATTCGTACAAACAACAATAACAGCCCACTCTTATAAAAATCAACATTTATCCATGTATGTGAATTACATAGACCAAATCAGCAAACTTTATTAAATATTTTTCTTGTGTATTATCACAGTTATATCAGTATTGGTATTATAAATGGAATATTTTGATTAAATATACCACAAACATCTGGTACATGTTAGAACTTATTTCCAATTTTCAATACTGTATCAAATTAGATGCATGTAGATGTGTCCCATTTGGGACATAAACAAAAATGGTGCATTATGCCTGTATTCTCTCATATGTACTGATGTTTGTCAAATGTTGATGCAAATTAACATACTGGTCTGTATACACTGTAAGAATTCATACTAGCCTTCTGGCTGAGACAAGCAAAACTTGCCAGGATGAGTGGAGTCTCCTTACCCTGCTGGCTAGTTCAATGCAGAGAAATTATTTAATAACAAACAAACCATAATGGGGCTTTATAATAGTCAGCTCTGGGGCCCTGGTCTGTCCCAGACAGCCCTACAGGAACACAATCATGGGGTACTGGGAGCCTGGTCTGTCCCAGACATCCTTACAGTAACACAATCATGGGGTACTGGGAGCCTGGTCTGTCCCAGACATCCTTACAGGAACACAATCATGGGGTACTGGGAGCCTGGTCTGTCTCAGACATTCTTACAGGAACACAATTATGGGGTACTGGGAGTCTGGTCTGTCCCAGACAGCCCTACAGGAACACAATTATGGGTTACTGGGAGCCTGGTCTGTCCCAGACATCCTTACAGTAACACAATCATGGGGTACTGGGAGCCTGGTCTGTCCCAGACATCCTTACAGGAACACAATCATGGGGTACTGGGAGCCTGGTCTGTCTCAGACATTCTTACAGGAACACAATTATGGGGTACTGGGAGTCTGGTCTGTCCCAGACAGCCCTACAGGAACACAATTATGGGGTACTGGGAGCCTGGTCTGTCCCAGACATTCTTACAGGAACACAATTATGGGGTACTGGGAGCCTGGTCAGTCCCAGACATTCTTACAGGAACACAATCATCGGGTACTGGGAGCCTGGTCTGTCTCAGACATTCTTACAGTTACACAATCATGGGGTACTGGGAGCCTGGTCTGTCCCAGGAACACAATCATGGGGTACTGGGAGCCTGGTCTGTCCCAGACATTCTTACAGGAACACAATCATGGGGTACTGGGAGCCTGGTCTGTCCCAGGAACACAATCATGGGGTACTGGGAGCCTGGTCTGTCTCAGACAGCCCTACAGGAACACAATTATGGGGTACTGGGAGCCTGGTCTGTCTCAGACATTCTTACAGGAACACAATTATGGGGTACTGGGAGTCTGGTCTGTCCCAGACAGCCCTACAGGAACACAATCATGGGGTACTGGGAGCCTGGTCTGTCCCAGACATCCTTACAGTAACACAATCATGGGGTACTGGGAGCCTGGTCTGTCCCAGGAACACAATCATGGGGTACTGGGAGCCTGGTCTGTCTCAGACAGCCCTACAGGAACACAATCATGGGGTACTGGGAGCCTGGTCTGTCCCAGACATCCTTACAGGAACACAATCATGGGGTACTGGGAGCCTGGTCTGTCTCAGACATTCTTACAGGAACACAATTATGGGGTACTGGGAGTCTGGTCTGTCCCAGACAGCCCTACAGGAACACAATTATGGGGTACTGGGAGCCTGGTCTGTCCCAGACATCCTTACAGTAACACAATCATGGGGTACTGGGAGCCTGGTCTGTCCCAGACATTCTTACAGGAACACAATTATGGGGTACTGGGAGCCTGGTCAGTCCCAGACATTCTTACAGGAACACAATCATCGGGTACTGGGAGCCTGGTCTGTGTCAGACATTCTTACAGTAACACAATCATGGGGTACTGGGAGCCTGGTCTGTCCCAGGAACACAATCATGGGGTACTGGGAGCCTGGTCTGTCCCAGACATTCTTACAGGAACACAATCATGGGGTACTGGGAGCCTGGTCTGTCCCAGGAACACAATCATGGGGTACTGGGAGCCTGGTCTGTCTCAGACAGCCCTACAGGAACACAATCATGGGGTACTGGGGGCCTGGTCTGTCCCAGGAACACAATCATGGGGTACTGGGAGCCTGGTCTGTCCCAGACATCCTTACAGTAACACAATCATGGGGTACTGGGCCCCTTTTATCTTGAGTATACAAACTTATGCTAACTGAATGCTGACAACAACGCTGATCCAGATCCAAGACAAGGATGTTCACGAAATCTCCAGACACAAGGGGGTGGTGGGTTAGTGTAGTTGTTAAAGTGTTCGCTCGTCACTCTAAAGGCCCGAGTTCGATTCTCAACATGGATAAAATGTGTGATGCCCATTTCTGGTGTCCCCTGCTGTGATATTGCTGGGATTTTACTAAAAGCACCGTTAAACTATACTCACTCACTCACTCACTATGGGTAATAAGCCCTTTAAATTTACTGGTTTATTTTATAAGCTTAGTAGAGTGAAATATATTGTGTTTTCATCAATATTATTATATCAATGGTAAACAAATTTAACATACATCATGTACATGCAGGTTGGCTGGGAACTCACTCACTCACTCCAGAAATCTACCCGGTATATTGTTCCACATCCTCCCACATCCTATGCCGACAACCAGCAGCAGGATGTTTCCTTGAAACTCAGATTACAGGGAACACTACAGAGATGAACACAGCACATCACAGACACAACAATCCTGGTGTTATCACATGATGAGCACAGTCACATGAGGCTGACCGCTTGGTGTGTGATGGCGCTTAGTGTGTGATGGCGGGAGGTCAGTACAACCCCCTGATGCTCTGACCTCCGTTAGACCAACGTGAGAACTATCACGGGTGAGGAAGGACCATGTACTACCTCATTTACTGATGCTTATTTAGCATGGACTGCACTCATGGTGGTCACCCGCTTAGTGGTACCTGGTCAATTATCTGTGTAGTGACTGATATCACACTTGATATCAACTGGATGAGGTAGTTACCAAGCTGTGAGGATGCGTATTCTGTCGTAGTCACCATCACTCATCATGCTCATGCATTACATGTGATAATGCAGCCTTAGCAATTCAGGGTTTTTAAGAATAGGACTTGTGTAAACCTGATTTTTAACCTATACTAAAGCCAACTTATTGTTCTTAACTAAAGTTTCTTGAAACAGTGGAAAGCCTGCAAACTCAGTTGCTGGTATCCATGCCCAGGGCAATCTGGCAGTATGCCCTCGACTTTCTAATCAAGACTGTTACATCACTAAAACCTAATGTTGATTCTTGATTAATGAATGGTTAAAAGCCACAGGTTTTTACATGTAAATTCCATGGCGTGAATCAATATGCAACCGCATTTATCATGTTTTGAAAATGGTAATCCACTGTTTTCACACTAAGCCAGCAGGGCAGGTTTGTTTGTTTGTTGTTTAAAGCCGCACTTCCGATAACAATAAATATTACCAATTCAAAATGGTATTTAATCACCTAAGATTATGTTGTTTGTTT